ATTTGCTCTTCTCCGAGTCCTTCTCGTCTTGTATTATCTTGGTGCATCGTGCGACCTGGAGGGGCTGCTCTTCTTGCATTCGTTGGCGGTCGGCGGCGATATCCCAGAGATGTGGAGGTGCGAGACCGGTATCTGATTCCTGGAGGCGTTAGTCGAGCATGGAGGAGGGTGAAGGAGTCTTTACTTTGACGCCAATCTTCTCGTTTATCGTCTGCTGCTTGTCCTTGATCTCCTTCTCGAGCTTCTTGAGTTCGGCGCCATAGGGTGCCGCGCCGTATGTCTTCAACACCTGGATGTCCCTGTGATGCCATTAGCCCATGCCTGCGTTGAACGAGACTCGGCGTCTCTTACTCATCGGTCAGAGGTGTGATCTTCTTCTCCTCGACCTCGTCGTCGGCGAAGTTCTTCTGGTACTTCTCCCAGGACTGGCCTGTGGCTGAAGGCATGCTTGCGGAGTGGGCGGCGACTGTCGTGTGGCCGAGATAGTGTTCGGGCTATGCGTGCAGTCGAGTTGTGGATGAGTCCGGGTAGGAGCCACAGTGAGAGCAGATGCGGCGGCGCGGGCGAGTGTATGGAGTTGGTTGTTGTGTACTGGGTGAAGGTGTAGCTGTGATGCGGCAATGGCCCGGCGAGTCGGAGCTTGGGGATTGGCCGTGCGCTACGTCTATCGCGTTCTCGAAATATTGTCAGTTCGCGTCCAGGCACCACAACTTCCCCGCCAAACTCCCACGATACCCCTCTTTTAGCTTTGTTCCTCCTGTATACTGAAAGATGGCTGCTCAAGTTGCAAATGGCGGTACCGGTGGCGGTAACACTGCCTTCAAGGTGCGCTTCGTCACTAAGCTCTGAAAACATTGACTGACATTGGCCCAGGACAAGGAGAAGCCCAGGGCTGTTCGCAGCGCCAACATCATCGCCGCAAGAGGTACAGAACCTATTCATTCCCTCTTAGGAGCATCTCGCTAACTCAAATTGTGCAGCTGTGGCAGATGCGATCCGAACTGTATGTCCCACCACGAGGTGCGGGGAAGAGACGAATACTAACTTTTTGGCAGTCTTTGGGACCAAAGGGCATGGACAAGATGGTACGAGACAGGCGCAAATCGCTAGCCATCACAACTGACTTGTCCAGATCCAAACCAGCAAAGGCCAAACCATCATCACAAACGACGGAGCTACCATGCTGAACCAGATGAGCGTTATGCATCCCTCCGCGAAGATGCTCGTCGACCTCGCACACGCCCAAGATATCGAAGCTGGAGATGGTACAACGTCCGTCGTAGTCATTGCTGGAAGTCTGTTGGGCGCTGCTGAGAGGTTATTGGGCAAGGGCATCCACCCCACAGTCATATCAGAGGCTTTCCAACGGGCAGCGCAGGAGGCGATATCGATATTGACCGAGATGGCCATCCCTATCTCGCTCACAGATAGGCAAACGCTCCTCAAGACCGCTACAACCGCGCTCTCTTCCAAGATCGTCGCTCAGGAGCCCAAGCTACCCATCATGGCTGTGGATTCAGTCCTCAAGGTCATCGACCCCAAGACTGCCGACAACGTGGATTTGAAGAACATCCGGATGATCAAGAAGTCAGGCGGTACCATCGAAGATAGCGAGATGATCGACGGACTGGTTCTCAACCAGCCTGTAGTCAAGAGCGCCGGTGGTCCCACATTGAAGGAGAAGGCACGGATAGGTCTCATTCAGTTCCAGTTGAGCCCACCGAAACCAGACATGGAGAACCAGATTGTCGTCAACGACTACAGGCAAATGGACAAGATCCTCAAGGAGGAGCGAACATATCTGCTGAACATGGTCAAGAAGATCCAGAAAGCCAAGTGCAACGTTCTCTTCATCCAAAAGTCTATCCTCCGAGACGCAGTCAACGACCTCAGTCTGCACTTCTTGTCTAAGCTGAAGATTCTTGTCATCAAGGATATTGAGCGTGACGAGATTGAGTTCATTTGCAAGGTGCGTAAGAGAAGTGATTCACCTGTAACGAAGCTAATGCACAGTAGAGCACTGGCTGCAAGCCTATTGCCGATATCGATTCATTCACAGAAGACAAGCTCGGTTCGGCAGACCTTGTCGAGGAGGTACAGGCATCGGGCGCACGATACGTCAAGGTTTCGGGCGTCAAGTCAGCAGCCAACACTGTCTCCATCGTCTGCCGCGGTGCTAACAACCTCATTTTGGATGAGACCGAGCGATCTCTACACGACGCTCACTGCGCCATCCGCTCGTTGGTCAAGAAGAAGGCGCTACTTGCTGGTGGCGGTGCCCCGGAGATTGAGATTGCGCATCAGCTGTCACTCAAGGCTCGTGAGCTCTCTGGCACTGAGTCTATTTGCTGGAAAGCTTTCGCCGATGCCATGGAGGTCATTCCGACAACATTGGCGGAAAACGCCGGTCTGAACAGCATCAAGGTCGTCACAGAGCTAAGGCATAGGCACGCGCAGGAGCAGAAGAATGCTGGTATCAGCATCAAGAGCGGGGGTGTCAAGAACGACATCAGCGAGGAGAACGTACTGCAGCCACTGCTGGTCAGCACCAGCGCTATCGAGCTTGCAGCCGAGACCGTCAAGATGATTCTGCGAATCGACGACATCGCCTTGTCGAGGTAAAGAACTGCAAATGGATTGACTTGGCAGCAAAAGACGCAGGATACCACGAGTAATGAAAAATTCGAACAAGTGTTGATGCCAAATAAGTGTTTGGAATGTCATGACATTGCATGTGAAGGTTACGCATATATTGCGTTCAATGCATGAACGGTGCAATTAAAACCTGCACGTGGGGGAGCATGGGACTGCAGTAGCGGGACACGTCGTTCTCTGCAGACTGTCCAGAAAGGATAAGCCGTGGATCACTTTTCTTCTTCCAGATGCCGAATTCGGACCACTTTGATCCTGGGGTATGCACCTGAAATGAGCACTGTTTTCAACTTGACTCGTTTTTGGTAAATGGAGAATGCGAATGCGACTATCCGCGCGCGTGACGAAGCAATTGCTTTTCGGGCTAATCTTTCGCCCGCACAGGTTATCCGGCCGTCAGCATGTAGACGCAGTGTTTCCGTGCCGTGTTCATGAGTAGTGTATGTGTGTGATGCCTCACCACGATAACGCGAGCACCCTGGCCTAACGACTTTGTCGTGCACCTAACATTGCAGAATATCACAACATGAAAACCGTTTCAATGCAAGCAGACGATCGAGTTTGTGAGCTCGCTGTAGCCGCTTATCACACGGCCAAGATGTGAATCCCGTCCTCGGGAACGCCGATGGACAGCGTGTCTGCAGCAACATCACTTTTTAGCTGCGGCCACGGAACTCATACACAGGTATGCTGACTAGCAAGGCATTCATCATCAGCACCTTCAATAAATCTTAAATACGACTCCGGCTACACTACGCGCGTGTAATAAACAAAGGCGCGAAAAAAGTAAAGAACCCCGGAAAACACCACCTCCAGCCGCCGTATGCAATCTAACGGCATTCCTCTTACTTTCGCATCACCGGACAATGACATGCATATGCCGTACCTTTTTCCCTAACTTTCTTTTCCCGTCGATCAGCCAACGCCACAACAACGACCTGCAGTGCCACCCTCGCAAAACCCAGCGTACAATGTAAACAACATCGTCACCTCACGCAGATGCGTCACCGACCCAAGAAAACAACCCCTCCAGCATTCCAGACCCCGCCACACATGACCCGATTGACTGTACGCGCGCGCTATCCGCTGCGAACGCAAGATCGAGCCCTGTGGGAGTGAAAAATCTAGCGCAAGCTGAAACGTAGCGTACCGTAAAGATTGGAGCAGTTCGGTTCGGCATCTAGTGGGTTAGTGTACCAGGAACCGCGTATAGGTAAGTCAGACTTGTTCGGCAAGGGAACCCATTAGGAATCTAGAGCCGGTGGGCAGGTGGAGCTTCACCGGAATGCGGTGGTGGATTTGGGGGAGCTGGTGGAGGATAAGAGTGAGTGGTTGTTTCATGTTCCAGTGGCTGATGGGCTGTTCGCTGTATTTTTGGGGCAAGTGTAGTGGGCACGTCATTGTTGACTGCAAGTGGAGGGTTGGGGGAGTAAAGAGGGAAGATGGAGATGATGGTTGGTGGAATATGTTGTGTGATGTGTTGATGCGTTGGATCGACCAATGCTTTCACATATACTCAACCTCAACCTAGCTGCCCAATAACCCTCCTTCTCATGCATCTTACCTCGCCACCGAAACACATCCTCCCAGCACCACGAAACGCATACAACGCCTAGTATCAACTACTGCATGCAAACTGTACGAGTACTGTAATGTTGATCTTTGCCTAGCCACTGGATGAAAACGGCAACGTCATACAACCATCCCTGCCCTTAACATCTATGCGATATAGATCTCTCCGCTGCGGACAATATGGTTAGTGTGGTTCTTTGGCGAAACATGTGGAGAGATAAGACGGGTAGTGTGAACGGGTAGGTAAAGCTCCGGAAGAGAGTACGAGGACCTAGTCATGATCGCTGGGGGCGATCACTCCTTCGGCAAAAGTCAGGTGCTGCGAGTTGAGACGCTGGACTGTATCGGCAATTGCGATGAGTAACCGTTGTTGCCTGATGTAATAGGAAATACGCGGAAACAATGCTATCGACAAGGATGAGGCGAAGTGGTGGTATCAAAGCGACAGACCAGTTTTGGTTGCTGCCGACTGGGTATCATTCTCGATGAAGTTCTTGGCTAGCTAAGTATGAAGAAATACCAACAGGGTAGCTGGACATGGGAGATGAAAGGAAAACGCCTCATTCATGCATCTGAATCGTTCGGTTCGTGCATCGTGATAATCGTACAGTCTGATGAGCTTTCGTAAACCCCCGTAAATGTCTAGAAAATGGCTGGACAAGGAAATAGAAGTCGCTCGCTGAAACGCAGCAGACCTGTTGTTGGTCTTTATTAGGAAAGACAGGCAAAAAGTACAATGTGAGAAGTGAATTAATAGATGCAGGCTGAAATGGGGATCAGCGACTGGTGGCCTTGAGGCTGGCACGCTTCAGTAGGCGGCTCACGAGGTTTCCGCGCGGTTTAGGCTTAACGTAGAAGGCGCCCTTGGTACCGGTCATGTCGTCGGTGAAGACAAGGTCTTCCAGTGCCAGAGGATCGTCTTTCGAGGTTTTGGGACTTGAGCTCGAGCCTGAGCCTTGCCAGCCATACAGTTGATCTTCGTCAGCTCGTAAATCGGGCCGGGTCAAGGTCATACGGAGTGTCATCTCGCGATTAAAATGCCCATTGGCGGAGTGGACAGGCGACGGAGCCGGCGAATCGACCGAGAACTTGCGGTGCGAGATTTGTCGGGAGTGCATGCGGAAAGACAGGCCGGTGCTAGAGGGCGTGGCAGGTGAGTCCATATCGGCTACAGAGCCGGCATCAGATTCCAGTCCCTGGTTCTCCTTTGGATGGTCTTCGAAGAACGACAGCTGCCCATCCCTAAGGAAGGTGTGCATGTCTCGGCTGAACTTGCGAGCATGATTGTCGATCTGTGGCAGCTGGAAGTGGGGTGTAGCGGCGTCGCTTCCAGCGGACGATGGGAAGCCGAATTCAATCGCTTCGTCGAACTTTTGAGGAGATGCAAGATACATGCGCAGCTTTTTCCTCGCCTCGGGATCCTGGTAGTGTGTCGCTTCGGGGTCGATCATGAGAGTTGGCGGCGTAGACGGCGATATGTGGCCTGTAAGAGAAGAAGAGTGGGCACGCTGGTGGAGTCGATTCGGCCTGGCATTGAAGAGTGGAGGATCCGCCATGTATGAAGATCCAAGGCGGACAGGGTGCGATGTGAGGGACATGGTTCGTCTCATGTCTGCCGTTGAGGTTTCCCTCCGATGGAAGATGGGCGTGGCCATTGTGTCGAGATATAGTAAATGGGTGTTTCGGTCCTTGTCCGTGTTTGATGTACAAGAAGGCCCGAAAGTAGGGCGGGAAGGGCTGACGGTTGAAGAGGCCGAAGATGAACGACGTCGTGAACGGCCGGGTTCCGGAAGGTCGAGCGTGGAGTGGGAGAAGTCGAAGTGAAAATCGTTGAAGCGTTGTTGTGCCCACTCGGGGTCCTGGTCGTCGGGAAGGAACGCCTGTTCGTGCCTGCCTTGGAGGAGGGCCTGCTCTTCGCGGGAAAAATGCTGCTTGCGGACCTTTTCAGGCAAGGAGAGAAAGAAGTCAAGGTCAATGTGGGAGATGTCGTGAGCGTGCACAGCCTTTTCGGATTTGCGTCTGCGTCGTCCGGTGCCGAGAGATAGCGAGGGCCGGTGGGATTTGGAAGCGGTGCTGGCCTGGGACGAGCGGCCTGATGTAGTAGGCTCGTCGGAGGCGTGCTGGGCGATCTGCAAACGCTCCAGGGATGAAAAGTACTTTCTCCTGTAGCGGGACGAATTAGCATTGGCATCATGGCATAATTGACAGGCCCTTCATCTACTGCAAGGTACACAAAAAGTCATGGTGGGGGATTCGGTATATGCACGCGCATAACGCGCCCTTATCACACGTCCCGACCACTCAGGAGCGCGGAATATTACTTACTGGACTGAATACGGCAGGGCGTCGAATTCGGCCTGCCGCAGAGGCAGAATAGTCCCTTTGGCTTTGCTCTTCATGGCTTCGGCTCGGATCTCGACGTCGGCGATGGCGCAACGTTTGGCTTCAGGCACATGGGGGCGTGGTTTGCGCGGACGACGCTGCGAATGGCGGCCCTGACGCCGTGGCCGGGCGGTGCGGCGGGCACTTGGTCGTGAACGTTTGGTTGAGCAATGCTGCTGTACTTTGTTCTCGAGGATCGACCGGAGGGCTATCCGAACAGCAGCAAGCGAAAGTCCGAAGAAGAAGGAATTATATGAGGTCCAACAGGACGGCCGCTGGGGGATAGAAACAATCTGTGGGCTCAGCAGCGTACGACTGTCGCTCGCACTTGGGGCGGCTGCATATTCGTGTCGCGGGATGCTGCAGCTGCAGGCTAACGCGCCGCCAGCGACGCACTCACTCTCTGCTCTCCACCTCACACCTGGGCCCTAGTAGAACCGTGGCTGATGTATCCGAGAGCACGCCAGGCCCGCGTGCGGTCGTTGGTTGAGTCAGGTAGTGCAGACAGGCCTCCTCCCCGCTTCTCTCCACCTTGCCGTCCGCTGTTTCAGGCCCGTGGCCGCCAGGAACACACCGTCAGCGGAGCCACGATGCTTAGCGTGCGACACACCGCTGGCCAACGTGCCCGGCTCGCGGAGTCGACAGATGCTCTCCATCACATTTGCCTGATTAAGCCTCCGCATCAAATATACTTGCTTCTGGAATATGCGTTATGGCGTTACTACCAGGCCGCCCGACTGGCCGGCTCAATGGCTGCGCCAGCGTGTCACGGGTTAATATCGCACAGATCACCGTCGATTACCAGACGCCTTGTACAACGTCGAGCATGCGCTGCGTAACGACGACAGGCTGACAACACGCACGCACGCTCCAAACAATCTGTCTAATTGCAGCGTATTGCACAGGTACAAGCAAGGGTATCTCAAGAGAAGCGCATCCAGCTCCCGCGCCAACACAAATGTTACCGCCCCCTGCACAGTTCCTAATATGGTTCCCAGAGAGCGGTACCTGGTTCCCAATTTGAACGTCGACAGACGTCTATTCACAAGACGGCGAACGTCTTCCACCCCGCCGTTGCCTAGTTCCGCATCGAGAAAGATTAGGCTTTCGGAAGCGTAGGCTTAGGCTTCCCAACATCATGCAGCTTGGACGTTGGCGGCCCCATTAATTTCACTATTACCTGCACAAGATCGATGTTTGTTGTCCAGGACTCCTGTCCGTGAACAAGCATTTTCTAGATCTTCAGGCACCCGCAATGTCATCTGCATTAAGGTATCAAGTCAGTATTGAGCCCGTGCCACGGTGTAAAGGAGAAGCACGTACAGTAGTATTCGTCATCCAGTCCTTCACGACTGGGGAGCACTGGTTCCTCCAGCCCGACATCTTCGTAGCGAACGTTGAGCAGACGGATCTTGAGCCCGTAACCGCCGATGAAGGTTACCAACTTATTGGTGTCGGCGGTAATTGGCTGTTGGTTCAGTAGCATCAGCAGTCCATCAAGCCACTCGGAAGCAAGGGTATGGCTCTGGGGATGCAGATGCAGTAGGACGGATTCTTTTCGCCCTGCACCTGAGCCGCTGGACGCCTGCCGCGCATGATTGGACGGGGGCAGGTAACCGTGGATCGTGATCTTGGTCGACGTCGAAGCCCGCTCGTGGCCTGGCAGGGTTGTGACCGTACTGTCTGACGATGCGGTCGATGGCGCCGAAGCCGAGACATTGCTCACCACCGAAGAGACAATGGATAGATCGACTGTACATGCGGGTCAGCCACTGCGGTAACGCAAACCATAAACGACGCGTGGACGCGTTACACTTACTCTTCTCCTGCAGCGTGTCTAACCTCGGCTCAGTCGCCGTCTTCTCGTCAAAGTCAGCGTAATGCAAATATCGCCGGTTGTGCGACAATCGGACAAAACGCCATGATGAGGGCACAGAACGATTCAGGGTCTTGCTGGTTACCGGACCCGCACTCGTGCCGTAGTCGATACCCATTGGAAACCACGCGCCTTGTAGCAGGCATCTTATACGCTGCTCCTTTACAAACTGCAGAGCCTCGTGATTGAGCTCGTCACGGACCTGACTGTAGAGAGTTAGCTGAGCACAGACTACATCAACACAAACTGCATACCGGAGATGATGGCCCCATGCATCCTCGTAGGTCAGCTCCAGTACTTCCATTTGGAGTTCTCTCAGGCGTTTCAGCTCGAATTCAGCCAGATCTTCCTCGACGTCCTTGACATCCCTCATGCGTGGCGCCTGGCCCACGACCTGCTCGATCAAGATGCGGACAAGCTCTTCGATCTTCTCAAAGTCCTCGGTTTGTGCGCCGGCTACCTTCCATAGTCGGATGAAGGCACTCAGACCACTCGTATGTAACCTGGACCAGTGGAGCAGGAGAGGCTTGAATGAGCGGTCGAAGTTGGCCCGCGAGTCGGTAGGCCGGTGGGAGTCCACATCGTCGAGCTTATCTATTTCAAAATGTTCGTATAGGGTCTGTGTGACCGACAGACTTGCGCGAGCGATTGGGCATCGCTGCTCGAGCGGCTCTGCCGACTGCTCCAGCAAAAGTTTCTGAAACCCGTCTTCGTTCTTGTAGACAAAGTCTGTAATGTCCATGAGGCCTAGGAAGCCAGTCGCATCGAACTCCCACGCGGGTGATTCCGTCTCGAAGCCCAGACGCTTCCATTTATCCGGGTTGTGCTTCTTGCTTCCTTTGGGGTCTGATGCTGACTTTTCTGGATTACTCGCCGTGTGTAGACCCCGGATCGCCCTCCTGTGATCGGGGTTCTCCAAGTCAACCTTCTCTTCCCTCCAGTTCCTGAGCAGTATCTTGGTCAAGGATTGGAAGTCGAGTAGTGGATGTGCCAGATCCTGTATCGCAGAGCTCTGCATAAGCCCGTACACGCTCTTAATCACGCCCAGCTCCTGCAGCTGCTTGATAAACTTGGGCCATTCAAAGGCCGCGTCGTTTGCGATGGCGTCTCGCATGAGCGCGTTGATGAGCTGTAGGGAGTTTGCGCATAGCGCGTGGTCGGCCGAGGTGATCTTTTCGACGAGGGAGGGTAGGAAGTCGGGCTGAGAGTCGACGGCGGGCTTCAAGCGCTGGAAGCCCGTGGTCCCGTCCTGTGAGTTACGGTGTGAGGGGTGGCCGACAATGGCAGCGAGGACCGACATGGCACCGCGGTTGACGTTGACGAGAGGTTGCGCGACAACGAGGTCGACGATCTAGAGTATAGTTGTTAGACCTCTTCAGGCAATCCCTCGTTCCAAGGTCGTCGTCGACTTACCCTCGCGACCAGATCGTCCGTGACATGGTCCCATCCCTTGTCCAACTCCAGCAGGCGTGCGAGAGAGGTCAGACAGTAGGCCAGGGTGTTGCCGGTCGAGTGCAGCGCCAGGAAGCGGAGCTTGGGCAGGCCGCCTTCGTATATGAAGACGTCGGCGAAGGAGGGGTCGCCAATGGCATTCTGCAGCTTGAAGACCGCCATCTTCCGCACCGACTCCTCCTCCGCGCCGAGGCGCGCAACCAGTTCCGACACATTGACGCTATCCATGGCTCAAGCTTCTTCGCAGGGTGGGAGGATGTGGGGTAGGTGAGAATAATGTGGAGATGGTTCGTTCGCCCCAAGTCACGCAGGAAGGGCAGACATGGCACACGCGCCAGAGACCGAGGCGGCGGAGTTGGCGGGCGGGATGCTCGTCGCTGCTGTCGACGATGTTTCACCCTGTCCTGCGCCGTCGCGCGTTAGCTGAGTCGCGCGACCCTTTGCTTGGCGACACGCTTCACGTGCGCCGGCCCACATGCTGTTGGCTGCCTGGGCCGGCTAGTCAGGTACGTCGCCGAGCATCGCGCGGCCGCCTTCCAAGGGCCGACATCATCCAAAGCGCCGTCCGGTCCGTCCTGAGCACCATCGCGACTAAACATCAGCGCTCCTTTCGGCCCATTCGCGTCCCCTGCTCTAGCGCGCCGTCCTCGATACCCTTTGTCCTGTTTTGCAAGCCGCTTTCTGTTCTGTGTTGACGCCGCCGCTGCACGTTCCAGCTCCTTCCGCCTTTGAGGCCGACAACAGCTTCTCCGCTTCACCCTCACTATCACCGCGAAGTCGCCGCCACTATGGTCTACATCACCTCTGACTTGTTCGGTCCCAATACACCGCACGAGCGCCAATACGACACCACCACCAGCTACTGGCACACCATGGCCCACGATCAACACGCCGCCGGCCTGGGCAAGAGAAAGAGAATGGCTGGCGACGACGGACCGCAACCGTATGCACCAATACTCCACCCAAAATAGAGCTCCAATTCTAACAACTCTGCAGCGTATCACGTCAACACCGCTCATCACCCAGTCGCGACTCCAACCGCCTCCATCTCCACAATACCCCGCCTTTCGAGAGCAACAACAACAACCTGCCATACGCCCTCTTCCCCTCAAAGCCACACGAATACACATCAGAACGTCGGCCGGTGAAGCAACTCAAACGCCTCAGTCCGAAAGCGTCTCTCGTCAAGTCAACATCACACCTAATGGACGTCGACTTGGACGCCCCATCACCCTGCCAATCCCAATCACACGCCGTTTCCGACCTGCGATCCTGTCACGCCTGCAACAAAGCGCCCAAGCGACGGAAAGATCTGGAAAATTACCTCGATTGCACGAGATGCGAAGGCCGGACCTGTTTCATCTGTGCGAGGCAATGTGTAGGCTGCAGCAAGGCGACATGTAAGAAGTGCATAGTAGAAGTCGGGGAAGAGGGGGACGCATGGTGTCTCGACTGCTATTCGCGGAACCTCAACTCGTGAGCACTAGAAGAGAAGGCAGTTTAGTTGTTTTGGTTCATTCTAGCAAAGCGGGCGTCCTTGTGTTACTAGCAGCTGCATCGAGCGAGACTCTATCGAGCATCATAATGAAGAGAAGATTCCATCATAAACCAGACCATGTGTCATTCGTGATTCTAGTCCCATTGTTAAACATACAAAGTATCCAATAACCAGTGACGTGTTCTAATCCT